CTGTTTAAAGAAACCTACACTCTGTGATTGCAACCGCCTTGTCTTATTTTAATTCTATTTTACTTGTTTTTACTGTGTATAATATTGTGTCTGTTTTTATGATTGACATTGTAAGGTGACCTTGAGTGCCAAGAAAGGCGCCTACAAATAAAATGTATTATTATTATTATTATTATTATTATTATTATTATTATTATCGTTGTTGTTGTTGTTGTTGTTGTTGTTGTTGTTGTTGTTGTTGTTGTTGTTGTTGTTGTTGTTGTTGTTGTTGTTGTTATAATAAGTCTGGACTCATCTGACCACATGACATTCTTCCCTTGCTCCAGAGTCCAATCTTTATGCTCCCTAGCAAATTGAAGCCTTTTTTTCCAGTTAGCCTCACTGGTTAGTGGTTTTCTTAAGGCTACACAGCTGTTCAGTCCCAATTCCTTGAATTTCCTTCACATTGTGTGTGTGTAAATGTTCTTACTTTCACTATTAACCACAGCCCTGAGTGCTGCTGGTGTTTTTCTTCCATTAGATTTCACCAAACGTTTAAATGATCACCGATCACGATCATTCAGGATTTTTTTTCCGGCCACATTTCTTCCTCAAAGACGATGGGTCCCCACATTCCTTCCCATTTTTAATAATGTGTTGGACAGTTCTTAACCCAAATGTAGTAGTTTTTACAATCTCCTCAGATGTTTCCTCTGCTTGATGCCAATGATTTGACCCTTCTCAAACAGACTGACATCTTTTCCACGACCACGTGATGTGTCTTTAACATGGTGTTTAAGAAATGAGAAGCAACTCATTGCACCAGTTGGGGTTAAATAACTTGTTGCAGCTGAAACATAATCACCCATGCAGTAATTATCCAACAGGAGGCTCGTACTGGTTTTACTTAGTTAAATCCAGGTGGCGACTTTATTTTGGCCAGGCAGTGTACATAGGTGAACAGATTTGGCTCACTATTTGGCAAGAAACTGGTCAGTTTTGTTTCTCTGTCAAACTTAATTAATGCATAATAAGCAGTTATTAATGATTTATAAAGTGTTTATAGATGAATTAATAACATATCTATAAACTATTTATTAGCCATCTATAAGGGCGGCCTTATTGTAAAATGGTACCCCTTTAACTACTGTTGCAAGCTTTAAAATACAGGTGTTGCCTGATGTGATGTAATCAAAGCATCTGTTGCACATGACTCTGCTACTTCCTCTGCGTGGTCATCACAGACATATGAAAGAGTTGTTTTATGCCCAATGGCCTGCCTGACACAACTTGGACTCAAACCAGAATTTCCAGAGTGTGGCCCTGACCACCAAGCTACTGTGGCTCCATGACTCCCAGCTGCTACCACACCAAATCTTAGCTACATATCTGTAAAACTGGCAGAGTTATAGAGGTAACGGCTGTGGAAGTTGTCGTGTATTATTTCATAATAAACTGTTCAGTGGTTTATGAAATATTTTGCTAACAGACACAATAGATTCTGATAATTAATGGCAAAGTTTTAAGCACAATTTTTTCACAGTTAGCCCTCAGAATAAAAGTCGGGGATCACTTTGAATTTTGAGAATTGAATCAATTTTGAATTTCAATCAATTAAACAATTAAATTACAATTTTGATAATTTAATTTTGAGAATAATATCTAAAAATTTACAGATAAATATCCATTTTTCTGTTTTTTGATTTCACTTTGCTCAGGCAGCCATCTTAGATCAGACTGACTTCTAAAGTTAATTAGATACAGGCCATGGCTATTCAGCAGAACTGCTCAGGGGCCACAGTTTCTGAAAGCCAGCAGCTCAGGGGCCGGACATCCAGCAGTTAAAGTCATTATGTACATAAAGTATTACAATGCTCTGTTACCTTTTAAATTATTTGTTTATTGCATTGAATCATAAATGCAATAAACAAAAGCCAAAACCCAAACCCAGAATCCACCCCCACCGCCCCCCAAAAAATAAAAAAAAATATTTTTAAAAATGAACTCATTGGTGGGCCTGACTGACGTCATCCGCGGCCCAGAAGTGGCCTGCGGGCCGCCATTTGAATAGCCCTGATATAGGCTGTTACCAAATTGTTAGTTTCTGAGAGTTTCATAAAATTTGTTCAGTGGTTCTTGAGATATTTGATCAAAAATGCACACAAATAAAAACATTAACCTTATTGTTATTATTAATTTGGTATTTGGTGATGAAGATTTGAGCAGCCATTACCATGTGGTACAAAAACTTTAAAGCCTTTTAAAATGGACAATAGACAATAAAAATTGCAATGGCAGTTTGGTCTCAAAAGTAGAGCTTGACCGATATGGAAATTTTGGCTATTTCCCATTGGGGGGTTGCTGATAACTGATATAATGGTGGACATTTTTTTGCTTTGTCCACCCCCAATAATCTAAGAAAAGAGCGAGTGGAGCGGTGCTTGTTTATTTATGAAGCTAAGCTAATCAGATCCATGCTATATGTAGTCCTACGGTAGGTTTACAAGTGGTGTTCTGCTCATGAAAACAGTCTTCCTAATGTGTGTTCACATTTTCTATCCTCCACTATTCACCATAAAATTATCAAGTATGTTACATAAATATAAATTGAACAAAGAAATGCCCTTCCCTGTTCATTGTTTAAACAGTCAGTCACGTATAGTGAAGGTCTCATTAGTATTGACCACAGCAGCATTTTTATTTCTTTGCAGGGAAGTAAAGATTTCAGACAAACAACGCATTTCATTGAGGACGATAAAGATAATGTTACTAAAACTGATATATATATATTAGGGATGCACAATATTATTGGCATGGTATCGTATCGGCCGATATTAGCGATAAAGTTTAATATTGGACATTGGCCATTCCATCAAAATAACTCACCGATATAAAAGGCTCTATTTTTCTATGACAATCCAGTGACCAGGATGCCTGCAGCGGCAGCACAGCGTGATGACATCACGTGCACCTACCTGATCTCATGGCAGAGAGGAAAATTCAAAATGTTGGTGGTGTGGAAGTTTCTTTTTTCGTTGGTGAGGATGTCGGATTCCGAAGATTTTTGGACTATGTTGAGCCTCGCTACATCGTCCCCAGTTGGAGATATTTTTCCGACGTAACCTTACCTGAGTTACAAGCCGTCATTTCTGACGTCATTGAGAAGCTAATAGCCAATAGCACGTGGGTGAGTTTTACCACAGACATTTGGATGTCGTGTTAGCCCCGTTAGCATGATTAAGTCTTACAGCACAATGGATAGACAAAAACTTAAAAAGTTTGTCCTTCATGCACAGGAGTGCAGAGGATCCACACTGCAGCTTTAGGAACCTGGAACAAGCCTCCACAGGTGAGACAGCCACACAGCTGACTAATGCTAATAAATAACATTTAACACTTTTCATTTAATATAAGTTGAAGTGCTCTGCGTATCATATGGCTGTTACTGAATATATGTCACCAGCTCTTACAGCTGTTGCACAATTTTTGTAGCAAATAAGCCTAAATAAGAGGGCTATGTTCTGACAAAGGAAAGCATATAAAATAGCAGTATCGGTTATCGGCCAAATAAGTTTTAACATATTGGATATCAGCCCAAAATCCAATTTTGTGCATCCCTAATATACAAAGTATATTTACCTCCACGTTAGATTTATTCAGTGCTTAATTTGTAAACCAAACGATGACAGAACACAAATAGCGGGGGGGTGTCTGGGGTTTCTCCCCCAGAAAATTTTAAATAAATTAAATGCCATTTCCTGCATTCTGGTGTATTTTAAGATGTTGTTAAACATTACGTTGTGTGTGTAATAGAGCACGCTCCACTTCTCTCAAGCATTCTAACCCCACCGCCCCCAGGAGCGGAGATTTTTTTTAAGGGTAGAAGCGGAAATGCTTACCTGAAGTGGCAGCTCTTATGTGATATCAGGAAGCTTGTAAGTGGCAGTTATTTTTAAGATTATTCTTAATGTAATTATTTTCAAATTACATATCCAATGTAGGTTTAATTTGTTCAGAGCAGTCATATTTGTTCATCACTTTGTTATTAGTATGTCTGAAAGTTACTGGATTCAAGCAAATAGTTACCGGATCACACACTATCAAAATTAGAGTTACCCGATCCTGCATTTTTCTTTAATGAATGGTTAAGTACCAAAGAGCTTTAAGATTGCAGTAAATAAACCTTTTTTTAAGAAACATAACGTTGACTCAGGAATCCTAGTCAACTATAGACCTATATCTAATCTAACTTTCATCTCAAAAATTCTAGAGAAAATAGTTGCAGGTCAGTTGTGTGAACATCTACAAAGAAATAATCTGTTTGAAGAGTTTCAGTCAGAGTTTAGAGCTCATCATAGCACAGAAACAGCACTAGTAAAAGTCACTAATGATATTCTCATGGCCTCAGACAATGGACTTGTGTCTCTACTGGTCCTGTTAGACCTCAGTGCTGCATTTGATACAGTTCATCACAATATTTTACTACAGAGGCTTGAATATGATGTTGGGATTACAGGAACGACTCTAAAATGGTTTAAATCATATCTATCTGATAGATTCCAGTTTGTAAATGTAAATGATGAATCTTCTTTATGCACCAAAATTAGTCATGGAGTTCCTCAGGGTTCAATGTTTGGACCAATACTCTTTACTTTATATATTCTTCCATTAGGTAAAATTATTAAACTTAATGGGATAAATGTTCATTGTTATGCTGATGACACACAATTATATTTGTCCATTAAACCCAATGAATCCAATCAGCTACTTAGACTACAAGCATGTCTTAAAGACATAAAAACCTGGATGACCCTTAATTTTCTCCTGTTGAACAGACAAGACTGAGGTTTTGGTTTTTGGACCTGAGCACCTTAGGAATGAATGTTTC